GAAATGTTTATTAAAGCAGTATAACATATTAGATTTTGGCATCTAGGCTCCGACCTCATACCTTAACCCCCTAGCCGGAGCCTACAGGCTACAATAGCTTAGAGTAGCAGCGATGTGTTCTGAGGCAACAGCGGCATTGACTAAGCAGTGGAAGAGCTGGGAAATTTTGTAGCTTAAAATGACCACAAGATTGAAAGGGAGCGCTTGGTTAAAGTTTTTGGATTATGAAGGTAAGTCATGTCGTGTGTATAGCAGCGCCGCTCGAGTTGACTGCCTGAACTAGCTCTCGGGCTTCGCTCCATTGTTGCACATTAACACTGAGGGAGGAGTTGAAGGTTTGATTATTTCCTGCTGCATTCTGTTTAACATCTCGGTGGATATGAAACATAAAATATAATATTTTCAGTTTTATAAATTAAACAAACATAAAAACACAATTGTGACGTTTGAGCTCCATCTGGCAGATTTTCCTCCGTATTTCTGCCGAACAGCTGCAGGATGAAGGCAGGAGCTGAAGCAGCGGTTCCCAACCTGCGGGGCATCACAGAGGGGTCCATAAAATATGTCATTTAGTGAGGGGTCGTCAGTTAGATAAATGATAGAAAAGGTTATGGAAAAAGGTTGGGAACCACCGAACTAAAGAATCACTTTGTCTAATTCACCAGAACTTTTCCGTATTTGTGAGTTTCTTTTAACTTTGACTCATTTCAATGTTTGTGGTTGTGCAGATTACTGTAAAGAGCGTACGATTCCCCCGATGCTGCACTGATCTGCAGAACAACCCGGAGAGTGACTGAGACTCCTGAACAGACAAAGCAACACTGGAGAGACTGAACATCGAGAGAAATGTGTGGAGAGATCTGTAGAGGGAGACCGGACCCGGAGGACGTCATCTCGACAGTCTGCGATTGAAACTGTAACTGGTTGTGACACTGAGCGAACTCTTAAACCTTCAGCGATCATCAGAATTCTGGATCACGAAGAACGTGAATCCTCAGGTAGTCGGCTCCACTGAGGCGGGCGGAGACTACAGAGGGTTTACAGGTGGAGGTCCCGCGGTTCAGGCGAAGGTGGCGGCAGCGGTGACTCAGAGCAGCAGTGACCCAGATCTGATCCAGGTGAGTGGGTCAGCGGTGTGAACCAGATTTACTGTCAGGATATTTTTACTCAGGTTACCTCACTCGAGGAGCGTTTCACTGCGACAAACGTCTCGTTTCTACGTTTCTTCACGAAGTCTGCCGGAGGATGATGTCAGTACCTTTAAAGGTCCAGTCTGTTCAGATGGAGGCAGGAAGTGAAAGCAGAAGGGAGGAAGTGGAGGAAGGTCCCTGCTGTTCTCGATAAAACCGTATCAGAGAGGAAAATCACATCATCCTAAAAAGACGGAGCCATTCTTCAACTGAACGAGTCGTTATATTCACAGCAACCAGACTCCATTCATAAAAACTGAACACAGAGTTTCTTCTCCACCGCTGCCTCCATTGGTTAGTTAGTCTGTTATTGTGTGACACCAGAGAGAATATAATATATAATATATAGAGTTTAGAATATAATGTTTTGCTGTTCTTTGGTGAATTTCTTTGGTGATTTCTGCAGCTGTAACAGCAGCACCAGGATCAGTTCTGATTTATGAGTTTAAAAACAAACAGATGAGCTGTAATTTGTTATTTAATATCAGCAAATATTTCACCATCATACTGTAATGCTAGATCATCCTCTTAATGTGGATTTAGTTAAAATAATTCTTAAATTTAAATATAACAGTAAACTTCACTTGAAAATAACTTTAAACAACAAAACAGATAAAAATTTAAACATTAAAGTTGAGTAAAGAAAAAATACAACTTTTTGATAACTTCAAACATCTTTATATTATAATACTAAAACTATTCTATAGAAATAAATAGTTTGTTACGGATGTAAAGATGTTTGCCATGTTTCCAACTGATCTATTAATGAGAAAAGTTTGAGAGCCACCGCTCTGTGAGACTGAGTATTCAGACAGACAGACAGGCAGACAGACAGGCAGACTAGTTATGGAGCTCTTATGAAACAGCAGATGTAGGTGAGACTGATCTGAACGGCCCGTACGTCTGAGGGTGAGATTAGGACGAGTGTGTGTGTGTGTGTGTGAGGATGCTGAAGCAGCAGGATGTGAAGACCAAACACACACACACACACACACACACACTATATGTTGATTAATCATTTGGTTTATCAACAGAAACTGAATGTGATAAATAATAATGAAATATTTCAAATTTATTCTGCAAAGAAAACTAAATAATTAAACAGATTTTTAAGAATTTTTTTTTTTAAATGAACAAATAAAAAACGTCAACAATCTTTTGTTTCCTTCAATTAATCTGACGACAGACGAGGAGAACAACGCGGTTACCGCGGTAACAGCAGCTGATTGATGCTGACGTCACTCAGAATAAAACGTGTTTTTTTTGTATTACAGTTACGAGAACAGGTACATTTGTTTACTGTATGTTGTTGTTGTTGTTGTTTTTAGCTTGTAACCAGTTTAGTGCTGCAGATTTAACACTCAGCATCAAACTGTCATCACATAGTTTCATGAGTCAGAAATAATCTGGAACAATAGGTTAATATTTCACTGTTTATAACACCAGGAGTTTACGATTTATTTTTTAATTTATACACTTTCTTCTCCAGGTAACCGCACACTCGTAATGTGGCGACTTTCATTTAAGATGATAAATATTGTTTTTGAACAAAAATAAGCAAACACACATTAAAACGACCTGAAACAGGCGGAAAGAAAACAGCTTCAGTGTCAATCCGACGTGTGACACATTATTATTATTATTATTATTAGTAGTAGTAGTAGTAGTAGTAGTAATTTATAGGATAAAACCATTGGGGATAAATATTTTCTTAATTTTTTTTGTTTATTGGGCAGATAAACAAAAAACAAACAACAACAGAACAGTAAACACACAAGAGTCCATCAGTGTGAGATAATTAAAAGAATCAATAGATTAATAGAATTAATTCATGTATTCATTTACTGTCATCAATAATCAATATCAGTCTTTAAAGGAAACAAACTTTATTTATTTCTCTGTATTATGATAATAAATAAATCAACTTAAACAAATTAATATGAATAATTAAACTCACACTGATCTGTTTATTGATATTTCTGTGTGTTGATACATAAAGAGGATCCTCAGGTGGCTGTGGCCTACATCTGTCACTCTCCCGATCAATAGAGATGATAGAAGTCAATCCCCTGTACAGACTGCAGATGCTCCGCTCTGATTGGCTGATCCTCCGGGCCCCGCCCCCTCTCTCCCCTCCTGATGGATAAATAACGCCACAGACGCCTCTGAGCTTCACACTGTCCGTCTGTCCCTCCTCTCCACAGGAAACTTTCCCCACTGTTTCACTGGAAGTTTAAAGTAGCATCAGAAAACTCTGTTTTACTGACTGTGAACTGAGTCAGTGAACGCACCGCGGAGGACTGTTGAAGCAGTTTTGTTTGGGTCAGATTTGGAGCTGATCTGGGATCAGGTTCAGGATGGAGCCGAAGGACTTCTGTCTGACAGACGACTATCACTTCCTGAATCCGCAGCGGTGAGGAAAACATTTCTGTTTTTATATTTAATGATTTTTATTGAATTAATGATGTTTAAAACACTGGATGATGATATATCAGCTGTCATTTGTTTTTTATATATTTATTTTTATTTTTCTAACTTGAATTACATTCATAATATAACATAAGATTACTGCATTTATTCAAAAAAGGAAAAAAACAAAACATAAAAACAATGTTTTAACAAATGGAAATCGATTCAGGAAATAATAATAATTTTACAGCTGAAAAATAATTATTAAATCCAAATATACCATTAAACTTCACTGGAAAACAACTTTATTTAAACAACCAAACAAAAATAAAAATATTAAAGTTAAAATAAGTGAAGATAAAACATTGCAATTACTTCAAACATCTTTTAGTATTCTAATATTAAAGACCCTAACCCTAACCCTACTGCAAGTGACATTGATTGGCTGCTTTGTAACCATGACGACAAACAGCATTTTAACCCAAATTAAAATTTAAAGTAACCAAATCAGACATTCAGTCAGTCATTACATGTTATATGTTACTGGGTTCCTTGTGCGTTAGTGTGAGAAACTTTTATTGGTATTGTTGAAGAAAAGTATATTTTCAGGCATTTCTTTGCAATTAAACTGAAGTAAAAAGTAAAAATAGTTCCCTTTTTTTGTATAATTCATTAAAAACTGAATAATCACTCATAGTTAGTTATCTTGAGTTATTATAGATTTGTATTTTTCATTAGTTTTTATTTTTATCTTATTTACTTTCCAGGTTTTGCTTGTTTCAGACATTCCTGTGTATTTTTATATTATATATATATTTATTAATATTGTTTCAGTAAGTTCTTTATTTTGTTCCAGTGAACAAAAATGTTTCACACCTGGTTTTAGTTTTTAGCTTTGTATTAATAACCTCAGTGGTTTGGTGACGTATCGCTCAATGTTTCACAAACTACAATTATTGCTCAAATTTGCAGAACAGTTGCGGTGAGTCAATAAAACTGGATAAAGTTGGATAAAGTTTGATTAAACTGGATAAAGTTGGATACATTTGGATAAAGTTGGATAATATTGGATAAAGTTGGATAAAACTGGTTAAAATTGGATAAAACTGGTTAAAACTGCAACAGAATTCTCTGTGATCGGTTACAGGATTTTATTTTGGGATGTGATCCACGGTTAGTTTAAAGGAAGTCTTTTATTGTGAAAATCGTTGATCTATTGTTTGTTTATCTCTGCTGCTGATCGTTGATCTTCAGCTGTTTAATCTCACACTTTTCTTCCTCCTCAGCCTCTTGGACTCCTCCTCTTCATCCTCCTCCTCCTCCCCTGCCGATGGAGCTCGTTCTCCGGCCTCCTTCCTCCACTCCTCCCCCATCAGTCCCTCCTTCCCCCTGGACACCACGCCTGCTCTCAGCCCCTCTCACCCAGCCTTCCTCCTCCCCAGCCCTGCCTCCTCTTCCTCCTCCTCCTCCTCCTCTTACAGCCTCCTCTGTGGAGCGCCGGAGCCCGACTCCCCGACGGGATCTAGTTCCAGCGGAGGAAGCGTCGGAGGCGGCGCTGTGGGGTCGGAGGCTCCAGTGCGTTTTTCAGTGTCGCAGACGGGTTCGTTTTCAGCGCAGGTGAAGAACGTTTATAACATTTTATTTTATTGTGTAGAGCTGCAACGATTGATCAATTAGTCGATCAAAAGAAAGTCGATTGATTGTTTCAGGCACTTTTCAAGCAAAAATGGGACAAAAGAAGCAATTCAAAGACACTTTATTTTTTTTTTTTTTATCGGAAGACTCATCAATAACTAAAATAACCTTTCAGTCCAGTCCCGGTTTATTTATACGCCATCCTGCTGCCACAAACACTAACTAAAGCAGTAAATGTGGATTCATCCACTGCTGAAACTAGTCCCCAACAAATGCCTCTAAAAATAAAACTTTATATTTGTGAATAGTTTTAAAAGCTATATTTATTAAAAGTCACCACCACTAGATGTCGCACTATAGCACCAGACAACGGTTGATCAGACTCCATCAACAAAACCAGTAATCTTACCTTGTAGATAATCGTAACGCACTGTTTCCCGTCTGCAGGTGGACTCCATCCTGAGGGGCGACTACCTGACGCCGATGGGTGCTGTGGGGCCGAAGAGGCTCTGTCTGGTGTGCGGGGACTTCGCCTCCGGGTATCACTACGGGGTGGCGTCCTGCGAGGCCTGCAAGGCGTTCTTTAAGAGGACCATACAAGGTGAGAACGACTGCATGTGCGTTAATCAATAAGTAAATTATTACAGGCAAGGCTGATCAATACACGGAACTCACTGCATTGATTAGTGTGTGAAGCTATGAGCTGCTGGGTTCAGACGATCCATTAAGGTATTGATCGGTGTTGTCTGATCAGTTCAGTCATCACATGTAAATATTTAAATAAGATGTCAGTGGTGGAAAGTAACTAAGTACATTTACTTCAGTACTGCATTTTCTGCTACCTTATACTTGACATGTCAGACTGTGTAAAATATATTTAAAAATTAAAGTAGTGAAAGATAAGTACTTGGATATTGTTCCCACAGTCTTAAAGTGGACTCTCGTTATGTGGTTATATTGATTGATCGATCGTTCGACACTACAGGGAAGAAAACGTTTTATTCATTTACTGTTCAATTTTTTCGATGTCTTCTTTCAAACTCGGGGAAAGAAAACACCCAAAATACACATTTAGAATAAGTGAATAATCAACTGTTTCATGCTGATATGTTTACTCTCTCTCTCTCTGGGGTCACCAACTGTGTTCATGTTCAACAGTGTGAGTTTCATCAGGCTCATTTAGTCTCATCAATAAACTTTAAGCCCCAGTAATAATGGGGGGGTTGGGTGGGGGGGCTTCTATAGATTTCTGTGAGAATAAACAAGATGAAGATACAGACAGACGCACACAAGTAGTCAAACAGAGAAGACACATTTTCATTTTCACAACATGTAATGGATAGTGGATTTAATTTAATTATAAAATTATAAATCATGAAATCAAGTGGTGGAAAGTAACTAAGTACATTTACTCACATTTACTTAAGTACGATTTTGAGGTACTTTACATTACTACCTTCTACTCCTACTAAATGTCTTTTAATATAAATAAATATCTGATAACTGGATTTATTGAGAGGCCTTCAGCGTGAGTAAGTGATGTCACTGACCCTGTACGTACTTCCTGTTTGTGGTTACCTAGGCAACATCGAGTACAGCTGCCCGGTGATGAACGAGTGTGAGATCACCAAACGGAGGAGGAAAGCCTGTCAGGCCTGCCGCTTCCAGAAATGTCTCCAGGCCGGGATGATGAGGGAAGGTACGTCACCTCAATCTGACGAACTTCCCATGAGTCTTTGCTCCTGTGGAGGCCTCCTCTCTCCTCAGACCTCGACGGGGTTTTCGAGGAGGAGGGGAGGAAGCAGAAGTAGCTGACAGGAAACCCGGGTCTCTGTGTTGCAGGAGTCCGCGTGGACCGAGTGCGAGGGGGACGACAGAAGTACAAGAGGCGGGTGGAGACCGGGCTGAGTTTATACAGTAAAACCCCGTACGCTCATCCTGTCAGCAGCAGTGAGTTCACACCTCTACTCAACGTCTTCACTTCATCCAAACTTTATTATTTGATCTAATCACTGTCTGTCTTTCAGGAAACAAGGTGATCTCCCACCTGCTGCTGACTGAGCCCACGCCTCTGGCTGCCAATCAGGACGATTCGACCAATGACGGCAGCCTGCGGACCCTGCTGACCCTCTGCGACCTCCTGAACCGGGAGCTTCTGGTTCTGATCGGCTGGGCCAAACAGATCCCAGGTACAGACGCTGGTCGGGTTGTTCTCAGTCTTATTAAAGCTATAATCTCTATAGTTTCTGCCACTAGGGGGTGTATCACATCAAAACAATAACATAAGATAAGAATAACAAAAGACAAAGTTTGATGATGCGAGCCAAGCTGCTGTATTAGTAAATACTATGTTGGAAAATGTTCAACTCCACAATAATTTAACACAGAATTACTATTAAAATGGAAAATTAAATGAGAATTGGCAGATACATTTCAATTGTATTTTAGTTCCCAGTAATCAGAACTTTATATCTTACTTTGACCTTTTCAACCTCAGCTACAGTTAGCTAGTTGGACGCCTCTGCCTTGCATTGCTAGTAGAAAGCAATTGTTAGCTTTGTATCATTACACCATTTATTGTTGCCTAAAGTCAGCAGAATACATAAGTTAGAGTATCATGGATCACAATAATGATATTGTTATATAGTTTAGTGCTGTAGATACAGGACAGAGGTCAGTAATTATGACCTGATTGTAATGAGTTACAGTTTATTTTGGGTAAATTGATCCTTATTGATACCCGCTCTGCCCCGCCCCTCACAGGCTTCTCCGGCCTCTCATTGGTCGACCAGATGTCGCTGCTGCAGAGCGGCTGGATGGAGGCGCTGCTGGTGGGCGTGGCCTGGAGGTCGCAGGGCATGCCGGGAGAGGAGCTTGTGTTCGCCGGGAACCTGCGGCTTGACGAGGCACAGTGTCGAGCCGCGGGATTGGCTGACCTGTACGAGGCGCTGCGTCACCTGACGTCAAAATACCAGGCGATGAACCTGACCCCCGAGGAGGTGGTGACACTGAAGGCCATGGCGCTCGCAAACTCAGGTACAAACTTTTACTTGCTGATACTTTCACGACATTAAGCTGAGAATACTTCAGTACTTTACATTCAGGGTAAACCCTGTAGTGGGGGTGGCAGTTACCCCTCAGTGCCCCCCTGTAGTGTAGATCTGCCCCTTGCAGCTTGAATACTGATATTGATTTACAATTAAAAGTGGGAGAGTGTTCGGGGTGTTGGAGGGGGAGTCTGAACTTATTGATCCCAGAGGAGTCATTATTGATATTGTTTAGAGGCTGGGAGCTGAAGCATCGCAGTATTGATTCCACAAACTTCTTTTTTGTTTGGAAATGCGAGTGCTGGGTCGTCGACCAACGTCATGTTACTACTGTCTGACTTCCTGTCTGTGGCCCATTGGTTCCTACTGAAAACGTAAATCTCAGGGACTTGTTGGGGACTATTTTCATCAGCGGATGAATCCTCATTTGGTGCTTTAGTGAGAGTTTGTATTGAGGAAGAAGAGACCGCACCGTGTGTGTGTGAGGTCAGTTGTTGATGCTAACGATGCTAACAGCAGTGTGTTAGCAGCTGATCAATAACACCTGACTGTCAGTGTGTGATTGTTGAAGCAGTGCATGATGGGAAGCTGGTTGGTGCTCCCAGCTGAAGTCTGGTCAGTCTCCCACTGTCTGAGCCTCGGATCAATACACTGTATTGATAGACTCGGTTCTGGATCTATAAACTGTTAGCTGTCTGCTGGAGGACACACACAGCAATGACGTGTCTGTCTGAATCAATACTTCACACAATAGAAGATGATGCTCGTCTGTCTGTGTGTGGACACATTTTACTCACATTGTGGGGACATTAATGTGCTTACAGTCTCTTTGTGGGGACCCGTCTTTACTTTTAGGGACCAAATCAAAAAGTCTCAAATCTCTTAAACATAATTTAACATGTATCTAATAAAGTTAAAGTTATTTTCAGTCTTTTAAATGTGTTTCTGGGAGACTTTTGTATTGATCATACTGTAACAGCTCCCAACTAACAGACACTGATTTTCCTTCATATCCTTTGTATTCTTTTCACCAGTATGGATGTAAAATAGGTCTTAAATTGCATTCATAATGATCTTAAAAAGGCTTAAAACCCCCTGATTTAATATCTCAATGTAAATTCATCATCCAGTAAAAAGCTTAGATATTCTGTATGTAACCTTTTCAATATTTGGACCATTGACAGCAGGCATACACAGATTACAGTATGAATTTCATCTTATTAGTTTAAGATTAATAAGAGAAGTACAAAACAGTATTGTCCACGTACAGATGAATCTGCATTCAACTCATCAGTATTCTTTAGATGTTGTTAGACAGTCTGTTGGGGATAAAAACAGCGGCACTGTGATCCGTCCACAAGAGGGAGTTAGTGAGTGCAGAGGCTGTTTTTAGTGGACAGAGAAGAGTGAAGGGAGACGTGATGTAAATAATCAATAATGTGTGTGGTAAAAACACCCACAGGCTGACCTTGACCTTTGTTTTTATCCTTCACTTGAACGTCTCTTTGTCTCTCAGACTGCTGCAGTTCAGTTTAAACAACAGTTAAAGTGTTCAGTACCAGCGCTGACTGAGCTGTTCGCCAATTACGTTTTCAAATTAAATAACACAATTACTGAAATATAAATGGTCTTGTTACTTTTGTCAAAAGACGGTAGACAAACACATCCGAGTGTATCCTGTTGATTTTACGTAGAAATATACGTAAATGATAGAAATTGTAAAATATTTATAAAAACATTGCTGATTTACCAGCAGGAAATACAAAAATAACTGCTATGAATCTTCTAATCTATAATCTATAAATAAGATATAAACAGTGATAACAACTCACTGAACATGCTGCATAATCTCTGAATAATATAGAAATATTACAGATCACCTTAAAAATATAATAATATAATACACAATGGATGAAAATGCAGTTAATAATTAGTTGTTTAATTAATTTGTTTCATATTTGACCAAAAAAAGCGTCAAATTCTCAGATTTGAGCGTTCTAACGTCCTCTGTCTGTCCATCAGATGCCGACCCGGTGGACTGTCCGGACTCGGTGCAGAGGTTCCAGGACGAGCTCCACGAGGCCCTACAGGAGTACGAGTTGTCCCGCAGGGAGCAGCACCGGGCGGGCCGGCTGCTGATGAGCCTCCCGCTGCTGCGACAGACCGCCGACCGTGCCGTGCAGGCCTTCCTACAGCTGCACCGCCACCGCTGCGTCCCCCTCCACAAACTGCTGCTGGAGATGCTCGACGCCAAGGCCTGAACTCTTCCTCACTCTGAGACCACGTCCATCATCAGGAGAGGACAGACTCTGGTTCCGAGACAATCTCAAACCATCTTTGTGCTTCGACAACCAAAGAACTGGTTCTAGTGCGGGTCTAGAAGCAAGAACCGCTTACAACAAGGGTCGGTGGCGCCTTGTGGCCAGCCAGCTACATATTTATTAGCCGTTTAGAAACAAACAGATGTTACAAACATAACATCGAGCTAGCTAGCTAGCTGTTTATGTTAGCTGACCAACAGCTAGTTAGTTAGCCAACTAGCATAACCTTGGTAACAATAGCTAATGTTGGAGACGTATACACCGATGTAATGAGGTAGCCCAGAACTAGCGCGAGGTTTGTGTTGGTGCTGAAAGTCCTGGTCTAATGCAGCCAACAGAACCACATCATCTGCAAAGAAACATAACTCTGAGGTTCCTGAACACCTGGAGACCCTTAAACTCCAGATATTATTAAAGTTAGCCGACTAAATGCCCCTCATCTGTGGTCATTACTGTGGCTGGTGTAGTATGGTTTAATCCGTCCCGTAAACTTCACTCGTCTTTTTGTTTTTGGACACGCTGATATAAAGACACCAACAGCCGAACCGGACTGCCGTGTCTAGAAACAGTTGCTAAGCTACGATTGGACAATCGCTGTTTGGGGGCGGGGTTTAGAGAACAGTCAGTTAAATGTGATTTTAAATGATGTAAAAAAAAATCATCATCTTCATCTGAACCTGGAAAGATTCATTAAGTGTACATTTGTGATCTATTTTTGTAAACAAAGATATTTTTGTGTGTTTACCTTGACAACGAGCTGGTTACCGTAGCAACAGCCACATAGGAGGATGACTGTGACGGACTCGGACCGATGTTTTTTTTTTTTATTTCGTTGTTGAGACGTTTTCTAACAGAGCTGATTATTTATTGGCTGCTGATTAGTTTTTAATGTGCCGACTTAATTAAAATGCTTTTGGAATAAAAACATGATTCAATGAGTCAATTATTTTATTTTTTCATACAAAGATTGTTAAAAAATCTGTTACACAAACAATGTGAAAGAAATATTAAAAACCTCCTCAGTGCCGACCTGAGTTCAGCCTTAACAACAGTTTCTACATTCACTACGAGTTTACATAAAACTGGATTTAATAATAAAGTTAAAACATTTGTAGAAATGTTGAAAAAAAACAAACTGGAAGAGTTCAGAGCCGCAATGCTGCATTCACAGGTCGTAGGAAACACGGACATTCAATGAGAGAAACGTTACATTTTAATTACAAGAAATTTAATAAAAATTAACAATTACATTATTAATTGTTCTCAAGATAGTTTTTATTTATCAATCGAATCTATAAAATGTTTTAAAATAGTGAAACTAAAGATTCTTTTAGAGCTGCAACTGAATATTTCTTTATTTAATTAATCAATTCTTTATTCTATTAAATGTCCCAAAACAAATAAATATATTCAGTTTAAAATTATATGAATCAGAGAAAAGCAGCAAACAACTGATTTCTGATATTTAAATAAATAAATAACAATTCATTAAAGTTGATAATTCATTAATCGTCTGATCAATTCTGGTGAAAAGTCCAATCTGCAGTTTTAAAGGATATAAATAATAGTTATTGTGACTAAAATCTGATTTTATAAATAGATTTCCACTTTAGAAATTCAACATTTCATAATATTTTCTTGGTTTCATTTTTCACACAATTTATAATAATTTAATCCCTGAAGTCTTTTTTATTTATTTATTTATTTATTTAATATCAAACACTGTTTTGATAATAAAATACTGAAATAATAATTCTTTTGTTTCAGCTTCTCTGTTTTATATCAAAGTAAAATTAATTTCTTTGCGTGTTTTTTGTACTTTTATAAAGTAAATAACAGTCGGATTAATAAATTATGAAAACTGTTAGCTGCTAAAATAAAAATAACTCTTTAGTTTCTGCCTGTTTTTTATTTCAGTAGAATAAGAAATGCTGATTTGCGGCTCCGAACGTTCACAGACATTAAAAACACAAACTGAAGGTTTTAAAATACAAAGAAAACAATAATTATTTCCTCACAGCAACGAGACAACAGCAGGAGGCTCCAGTGGTCGACGTCACATAAATAAAACCCAGAGTGAACTCACAGGAAGTTCAGGGGGACGACAGGAAGTACATCAAAATAAAGCAGGAAGTCGCTGCAGAGAAAGCTTCCTATAACATCAACGCTTCACTTTATTGATCCGTGTTTTCATGTTAATTTCCCAATAATCACACAAGAAGTTTCCTTGAAAGAACAAGTTTCTGATTAATAACCGTTTTAGCATATTAAAGGTAGAAAGTATTTATTATAATTATTATAATATCACATTTATTTCAGCACTTTCCTGCTAAATGTAAGAATCATTTATAATATTATAAATTAAATTAATGCCACCTGGACCAGATAAATAAGATATTTCACTCAAATGTTACAATAAAACTGTATAAATACTAAAAAGATTTTACTTAAAGTACAAAAGTATAAGAAAATATACTTAAAGTACTAAAAGTACTCATTATCCAGATGAATGTATATATTATTGGATTATAATTATTGATGCATTAATGTGTTGATCACACACTGCTGGATAAGTTGTATAATTACAACCAGAGTAAATAAAGCAGATAAACGTAGTAAAATATTTCTGTCTTGTTGGAGAAAGAAGCAGAAAATGGAAATATTAAAGTATGTATCTATTAATTGCATAGATCTTAAAGTCAGACACACAAATATATAAAGTTAAAGTTTTCATTAATAAACTTATATTTACTCTGTAATTAGTTCCATAAAAACAAACTTCTTTCCAGGTAATTATTGGGGAATTATTAGTAAATTAAAGTTCCTGAAGGTTCAGGTTGTTTTTTGCTTTAATTTGAAATAGTTGATGGAAAATTAAAGAACAAAAGCCGACACCTGATTGGCTGCGGCGGTGAGACGTTCAGGCTCGGCTCGTTCATCACAGTGTGAACTTAACGCCAGAATTCAAACATACAAATTATAAAAATAAAGTTTCCATACAAACTGTTTCAGGTAGAAAATGTTGGAAAGATTCACCTGCGTCGGTTAGAAACTGAACACCTGGAGAAGCCCCGAACTTTTTTTTAGGGAAAATATTTTGCTAAACTCCGCCCACCTCAGTTACCGTGACGGTTTCCGTGGCGACAAACAGATCCGAGATCTCGGGCCCGTTGTTTCGTTGTAAACTTTATATGAGACAACAGAGAGACTGGCCGGTAGCAACGGTAACTAAGGAGGGGCGGGGCTTAGCGGATGGTCGAGCTACGAGTGAGCGATCGGATTCATTGATAATGCAGAGATATTGATCAGTGCAGCTTTAATGACGCAGCTGTTCGGGGATCATTTCCCACCTGACGTTAGTGAGTTAGTCCAGACGAACTCTACTGACGGCTGATTGGCTTCCTTCTGAATGTCTGAGCAGCCAATCAGAAGCTGGTTTCGTTCATGTGTGGTTTGGGGCTGGTGGCGGCGGCGGCGGCGGCGTCGGCAGCGGCGGCGCTGTC